GGCGGCCATATTTGACCCCCACCGCGGCGTACTACTCGTGGCGCCGCGAAGAGAGAGAGGAGGCTCCATTAGTTCTAAACTCCTTGGGTCAGACTCATTCATTTGAGAATGCATGCAAGACGAAAATAATGGACATATCACCCGATGGTCGTGACTAGTGAAATCCCACGCTAAGCCTTTGCGATCAGAGCAATATGATTGTGTCGGGTTAATCGTGATTATATTATTTAGAGAGCTGCCTGAGCTCTCTCTCTCTCTTTCTAACGCTCTGTCTGTCTGTCTGTCTGTCTGTCTGTCTGTCTGTCTGTCTCTGTCTCTTTCTCTGTGTGTGTGTCTTTCTCTCTGTCTGTCTGTCTGTCTGTCTCTGTCTCTTTCTCTCTGTGTGTGTCTTTCTCTCTGTCTGTCTGTCTGTCTGTCTCTGTCTTTCTTTTTCTCTCTGCCTCTGCCTCTGCCTCAGTTTCTTTTTCTTTTTCTCTATCTTTGTATGTGTGTATGTGTGTGTGTGTGTGTGTGTGTGTATGTGTGTGTGTGTGTGTGTGTGTGTGCGTGCATGTGTGTGTATGTCTATGCATTATCACACTCACCATCCTGCCACCTCCATACTGTGACATTATGCTCATCCTCCAAGCCAACACTGACCAAATTCTTCCCCGTACAGGAAAAGTCCACGGAGCAGATGCCCTTAGAATGGCCACCCTGGATGACCGACAGAGTCTCTTTACTGGCCGCATCCCACACATGGATGGATGGATTGTTGCCAATCTGACCTGTGGCCACTATGTTCTTGAACTTTGGATGTTGATTAATGTCCAGACAGATAATGTCATCTGAGTGCTCAAGGTAAAAGCTCTGAGTGCCTGTAGAAGAAAACAGAATTTGGTAGAGTTAAAGAAAAGCAAATCGACATCAATTTCTTTTCTGTCATCTAATCTATTTCAGCTATACATCAGAAATTAAAAAGTACGCTTTCTACTTCATTCTCAAGGAAGATGCACAAACACACACACACCCTCAAAAAAGCACAAATGTGCATACACACACACATACACTCATATGCATATCGGATACTAACACATACACACAAAAATGCATACACAGTTACACACTGTGCACACTAACACATACACTCTACTTCATTATAAAAAAGTCAGGGTAGTACACTGCTGAGAGCAAGAAAGATGATAGACGGACATAAAGAAAGCGAAAGGACAGAAGAAAGTAAAACTAAATATTGAGTCCTATAACATCTAAACAGTGTTTTATTTTTTAAAAATACACTCTCAACTCTTGAGTTTGTATCATGTTTGAGGTTTACACCATTTCCAACACATTATATAAGTTATTTAGAGGCAGGACTTCCTGTTTTATTTTCATTTTCAGTTTACAGATAGAGAACTCCAGGCCCTTCAATTTTTGTTTTTCTTCAATTGCAAGGTTACTTTAGAAAAAAAAATTCAATTCAGAGCCAGAAATAGATCTAACCTCAAAATCCCAAAATTCTAGCATCAAGTCAAACAATGTTTCGGTGTTTTCTAGTATCCATTGGGGTAATTATAAATAGTTGTAACGTGCATAGAGCATGCAGTGGAACATGGTTATGCGCTATATGAATGCAATTACAATTGAAATTGTTCAAAATGGCCACTAATTGTCAATGAGAAAGTGGTTGTCCTTCGCACATGGACATCTTGGACAGTGTCATTCAAATGTTGTTTTTTTTAAGCAATGGGAAGAAATAGTAGGAGGTCATTTGTACAGGTAACTGTCTTGAACAAGTGGCCATTTGAGCAGGTTTAACAGTATCATTGTTATAATTATCACAAAAAGTTTTAAAGAGCTTCATTACAAGAAATTACAAACTTCCTGTGCTGAGGCTGTTATACAAGCTTTTTAAAGTGACTTTCTACTCCAGTCTCTTGCAGCTTCAATAATAATGATAATAACAGATCATTCATCATAGATTGACAATGACCTTTAACATCCAAGGAGGGAAAGAAATTTAGGCCGTGTTCCCTTCCACGGGTAGCTAGCATGGTAAAGAGAGAAAAGTAAAATAGCAATTGGCTTGTAATGATCACAAACACAACTTGCCAAGGCAGTGCCTTTGCCATTCCTAAGAGGTTGCGATTATCTGTCTAAACACATAGATAGTTGGTTAAACCTTCTTATAGCTTCCCTTGTGACCTCCAAGCACAATTCTTTTTTTTTTCCTTTTTTTTTTTTTGAATTTTCAACAAAAAGAGCACTTTTGGTCTTTTGGTCCACTTCCAATTCAAGTTTTGACTGCTTTGATTTGCTTGCTTCTCTGATTGCCTGTGCTTAACAATGCAGTGTCAATAGTTTATACCTGATGACAGATTATGAACGATGCCGGCCCCAGCAGCGTGGTACACAATGTCTGCTCCATCATTCACATAGTATAGGTTACTCCTGGCATCAAACCCACGGTAGCCATGGATGTACTCAAGCTGTAACCCCTGGAAACAGAGAGAAATCAAAATCAATTCTGATCCACGGAAAAATGATCCTTACCAATTCTTCTAAATCAATGTTCAGCTTTTATCACCCTCTTCCTTGTCGTTGTTTTTGTCTCCTCCTCCTCCCCCTCCTCCTCCTCCTCCTCCTCCTCCTC